TATAGGTTTTTTTTCCTTTAAATTGGTAATGTTAAACTACCTTTGCATTCCTGAGATACATCAAAATTAGACATACAAAATTTGGCTGTTTTAATTTCCATTGTAGCCTAAGGCAAAGATTACATTTGGATGCCATATTAAATAATTTTAGAATTTGCTTTAAATTGCTTCATTAAAAAATTTCCACTTATTGCTCAAAACAATATTGTAACATGGAATTCAAAACTCAAAAATTACCTAGGATCCTACTGCCATAACAATTCAACTGTTTAGATTTTGTTCTCCATTTTTTCGTTTATAAATATGCACAAACACACAAATATACTTTTTACATAGCTGTAATCATGGTATCTATGCAATTTTCCTCCTGTTGCCTTTAAAGGCTAAGTTCAGTTTATGACTCATGTTCATCAGCAAATCATCAAAGAAATCAAATTCCTCACTTAATTCCTGAATTTTAATGCCTTTTCCATTGGGCCATATTTATTTAACTGAGTTAAGCTATGTTTAGAGTGTGGCAGAGAAAAGAACAGCACTATTCAGCATGCATATATTTTTTCTGAGAGAACATGTTAGGTCTAGTTATGGATAGAGAAATGCAGTTTCAGGAGTTTCATCAGATAGGAAAATTTAGTAATAGTTTGTACATTTTTTAATTGAATGATGCTATGTGCTATGTCCTTGGTGAACTGCTGGTTCCTCAACTTCTTCTACTCCCCACACATCTTTCCCATTGCTTCTTGCTCATCCTTAGGGCTCATGGTGAATCCCATCCTCATTCATGCTTTCTCTCATATCATCACCAGTATACCCACCTGCTGCATCTTGTTTATTTCCTTCAAGGCCCTTAATCCAATTTGTAACTACACATTTGTTTAGTTGCATATTGAATGTCTCTTCCACTCTTTTTATAAAAATCATTTCTCACAGTTTTTTTTTACCATTATTTATTTATTTTTATGTGGTGCATGAGAATTGAACCCAGGGCCTCACACGCCTAGGCGAGCGCTCTACCACTGAGCCACATCCCAGCCCATCTCTTCCACTCTTATTTTTAAGCTGTCCTAGGAAAAGGGCTGAATTTGTTTAATTCACCAAGATAGGGTCATATGATATATTAAAAAGCTAGCAGATGGGATTAACATATGCAGGAGGATGGTAGTCTTCAGAGAAGGATGGTGCTGGGGACACTATCTGATTCCTACTGTGACTTTTACTGCTATGTTCTTAGTTAAGCATATATACTTGTTATATATTTGTCAAATAAATATTAACATGGATTGACTTTTCATTTCCCGCAAATTTTAAAACCATCCAAGGGAAAAGGGTAAATGTGTATCTATGCTGTGTGCATTGGAAGGGTTTGGGTTAGTGTGGTTACCCATGGACTTGGGAGGTATGAGTTGAATTGGTACCTTGCTCCCATGCCCCCTCTCTTCTTACAATAGGTAGGCCACCCAACAGATGGATACATGTAAGTGACCTGACTCCCAGGTGTGCCATTCAACATGAACTATTATATAGAATTCATGGGGTCCATGAAAGAATATATCTTCTGTCATGGTTGAGGGTCAGAATTTTCATTTGGGCACATCAACCTGAGGCTGGAGATTCTGAGATTTGCTCACTGGTGATGTGGAGATTAAGGACAAGGCTCTTGTTCATTTTTGCTTTTAAATTCCCTTATGTATGTATGTATGTGGTTCTGGGGATGGAACCTAGGGCCCTGTACACCCTAACCAAATGCTCCACCTCTGAGCTATACCCTCAGACCCTTCAACTCATTTTTAAACTAGACAGTGAAGACATGAAATTTTTGGTACTTCCTTATATATTCAAATTTTATCTGACTTAAATATCAGTATCAGAAATTTTATATTATTACAGTAAATATGCTGAACTAGTTTCTAGATAAATGGACAAGTGTGACATTGGTTTGAAACATTAAAAATATATGTTATATAAATATGTAAGCATATAAATCATAAAATATTTTTGTATATATTGAAAAATTATACATTATGCAAATATTTTCTCAATAAGATTGGGATTTTTCTTGTATATACGATTTAGTAATTTTCTTTTTCACTTAACATTATATTCACTCTGACTTTAAAGCCCAATATAATGGGCGTAGGGGTTATTTTTGTATACATTTTATACTTTTTTCCATTGTCAGTATACATATAAAATAATATGCAATATTGAGAACAAGTTTCTTATTTTGGCCAATGTGTTGGGAACAATATCGAATTTTTGAGTATTTAAATATGTCATTTAATGGTCAAATTGCCTATAATTGAGTTGTGTTTTTTCTGCATACGTGAAAAGTATAATAAATTCAATTTTAGTCAGTATTTATTTATTTTGAGGTGGGGTCTCACTATATTGACCAGGCTAGTCTCAAATTCCTGGACTGAGTGATCCCTCCACCCATCCCAGCTTCCTGAGTAGCTAGAACTATAGGTAGAGCCACTGGGCCCAACTCTTTAGTCATTATTTGTTGTACCTGAGTCTGGGGCTCACTTACTTATAGCTTTTCATCAGAGATGCCAGAGACAATTTCTTTCAGTCCTCAACTTGAAATGTGGTGTTAAGTCCCAGTGCTTATAGTAATAAGTAGGTACCATTTAAAGAAAGGAATCATTAATAGCAAATTTGACCTCTTTCTCTTCCATGAATGATGCATTGGTGTTTATAGAATATAAAGATAATTAGATGAATAGAGTCAAACTAGGTCAGTTCTTGAATGTTTTAATCAATAAAGTTCACAGAGCAAGAGAGATAGAGACCATCTATCTAATTTGTGTCAGCTTGCCAGTCACACACATTCAACAACAAAAAACCTTTTCACTTGCTCTGTACCCTACTCTTACACAGACAAATTAAGTAGAAAGGTGAATAGTGGGATATACTAGCATTTTAAGTGTCAATTGAATTCTATCCAAGTATTCTTTCTTTAGGTGTTAACTATAAGCTACACTCAGATATGTTTGAATGCCTTCTTACAATTTAGAACAGCCAAAGAATTGCTTGTAGGACTTTTATCTTATGACATAGGATTTTCAGGTGGCAGGTAGCTCCTTGTCTTCCTCTTCCTCTTCATCTCCTTCTCCTTCTCCTTTGTCTCCACCTTCTCCTCTTCCTCCACCTTCTTTTTCTTTTTTTTGGTGGTATGGGGTTTCAAACCCAGGGCCTTGTGTACATGGTAGCATGTGCTGTACCACTCCACCATTGAGCTACATCCCCCCTATATCCCCACCCCTTCAGGTGGCATTTCTTTCTTTTTTTTAGTTGGTGCACTATAGTTGTATATAATGGTCATTTTAACATTTGTATATACACATAATATAAAAATATAACTTAGTCAATATCATTCCCCAGTATTTTCCCTTTTCTTCCCCTCCTCACTCCCCCTGATCCCTTTACTCTACTGCTCTCTCTTCTATTTTATGAGATTCGCACCACAGACCTTTCCCTTTTTTCTTTTTAGCTCCCCAATACAAAACAAAATATGACCCTTGACTTTCTGAGTTTGGCTTATTTTGTTTAACGTAATGGTCTCAAGTTTCATCCACTTTCCTGCAAATGACAATTTCATTCCTCTTTATAACTGAATGAAACTTCTAGGCTGTGGAACCAGCCTAGACCATTGACAGATATCTAGGCTGGTTCCACAGTTTGACTATTGTGAATTGTGCTGCTATGAACACAACTCACAATAGTATAATGACTTTAATTCTTCAGGATAAATTCAGGTGGCATTTTCTAAATAACCCTGTGGATTGCTTGTTGCAATTTGGTCTAATGTATATGACACTGTATTTTTTTTTTCTATTGAAAAATTAATGTTCATATATGTTTTATTGTGTAGTTTTAATATGTTTTAAAAGAAGATAATATATTTTCCTTCTATATTCAATGGATTTCTATTTTGTATACTTTTAATTATGTTTCTTCTGAGAAATATTCGGCACAACTAAAATTAGATTTCTTTTTTTTTAAAGAGAGAGAATTTTTAATATTTATTTTTTAGTTATCGGCGGACAGAACATCTTTGTTTGTGTGTGGTGCTGAGGATCGAACCAGGGCCGCTAGCATGCCAGGCGAGGGTGCTACCGCTTGAGCCACATCCCCAGCCCCCAAATTATATTTCTTTATATAAGAACATTTCATTTAAATTCAAACTAGAACTCAATCTTTATTATTTGTCTTATTTTCACAATTATTGAAGTGGTGTTTTATATTTGTGTGAAATTCTTAATTATACTCTTTCTAGTGCTGAAGGAAGTTACCTGAAAATGACCCTCCAAACAGCCAGAGACTCTGTAAATTAATTGTGGGCCCCAAATCATAAAAGTGAGACCCTTCTCCTGGAAAATAAACAAATTAAAGCTACCCCACAAAATGTATCAAGAGCTCACTAAGAATCCCTCCTGTGTCCAGGGACCTGTATTTTATCACCCACGTTTTCAACTACATGTATAAAGCAAGGAATTACAAGCTTCTCCAATGCCACTTTTTGCTACTATTATTTCATACTCAGAGATGATAGAGGTAGTACTTTAACGAGACTCAACTAAAAATTTTAAACGTGAATTAGACAATTTTTTATTCCACAGTATCACAACTGTATTCATTTCTCATCTACCTGTTTGTTCTTTGTTCGCTTGCACATTCTTTTTTTTATCACTGTTATAACATCCTGTGACTGGCTCATGCACTCTGTTTATTTTACTTTACCCAAACTTCCAAAAATAACTATTATTTCATGCTGGCAGGCTCTAGAACGCAGGCTGAAGGACACAAGAAGCAGTCTACACGCAGGTAAACTACGACTTAGCAATTAAAGTGGTGTGGGGCATGGGGGACGACTCTCCACTACCAGGACCCTCCTTTCTCCGGGCCGGCTGCCAGAGTCTCGTCGCGGACCCCGCCTTCCGGGCCCATTTCCCGGAGCCCCGCCCAGCCTGCCCCAGGCCCCGCCCCGCCTCCTTGGGCCCCGCCCCGGCCGGTCGCCATGTTTTTCCCTCCGCCCTGGACCGAGCCTTTGGAGCTGGAGTCGGGTAGCACTGCTGCTGCTGCCGCCTCTTGCCCGCTTAGACCTCGACCCTCTTTCTGCCCTCCTTGCATCCAGGCGAGCCGGCTTTGAGCTCCCAGGGTGTCCTCCGTGTGGTCGCAAGGTGAGCTGGATTCGGGACGTTCCCTCGAGGGCGGGCGGGGACTGAGTCGCGGAGCGCGGGCGTCAAGGGCTGAAGGGCGCCTCTCTGGCCTTGAGCACGGCTCTGGCCTGGGGCACCTGGAGCATCTGTGCTCAGGGCCAGCGCGGGTCACTGCCCTCTTTGAGAGAGGGGACGGCTTGTCTTAAGAGTAAGTCCCACTGACTAACGCAGGCGGAATGACGGGTTCCCCCACCCACCCCCACGCACAGATGCATGCTCAGATACCAGGGAGAGAGACAAAAACTCAGCTTGGGAAGACGGGGATGGAGAAAGACGTCGACAAATAAACGCACTCACCTGGGTACACATATACGCAGTAGCTTTGTCCCTCACCACACCGGGACGCACACCCACACCGCCCAGACCAAACCCTATGCCCTAATGATCACTGCAGGGTAAGCAAAGGCACTCACCCTATTTGATTTTGGCGACCTCTGACATCCTACCTAGCTGAACGTGTGCTCAGTCTTCTGACCACGCAGGTGAGAAACTTAGAATGTAAAGCCACTGCTAGGGGCTGCAGGCGGTTTGGGACATTATCTGATGCAGATACTGGCTAAGGTTTCACAATAGCGTTCCTTTCTTTTTTTTTTTTTTTCCCACCTTAGTAAGTAAAAAGGTAAGATGAGAGTTTTAGGTGCTGACCAAGTAGTTGGTGCTTTTTTAAGTGAGGACACATCCCGTGACCACAGTTCTTTTGAGGAATAACTTTTCTGCAACTTTACAAATTGGCACGTGACCAGTCTTTTCATAGTCTTTCAAAGCCCTCATAAAATCTATGGACAGAATTTGTTTTTTTTATTTTGTTGTTTACAACTTTGTTTTTTCCTCCCTGGCGCTATTGTAATGGAAAATCCCTACTTTGCCTGTAATCTCAGAGACTGACCAGTGGGACAAAACTTAGAGTGAAAGGAAACCCAGAACTGTCCATTTAGGAACTTTTGAGAAGCCTGCTTTTAGTTTCTTTCTCTTCGCCTCGCCTTTTCCCCAACCCCCTCCCTCCCCCCTCCTCTCTTCCCTCTCCCCCCTCCTCTCTTCCCTCTCCCCCCTCCTCTCTTCCCTCTCCCCCCTCCTCTCTTCCCTCTCCCCCCTCCTCTCTTCCCTCTCCCC